ATATATAATTAATGCACACCTGGTCCATAAGCTAGAGATAGCTCAGTGGCTAAAGCCCGAACTTATTCACCGGAAGGTAAGTGGTTTAGGACCTCGGCAGATAAGCTAGAGATAGCTCAGTGGCTAAAGCCCGAACTTATTCACCGGAAGGTAAGTGGTTTAGACCCGACCTCGGCACCTCAACTGCCAGTGTCTAGGCTTGCTCAAACATCGTCCTGGTTACCGGAGTCCTAAATGCACAAGTACGCAAACATAGAGTATTTGAGACTCAAACAGGTGGTCGAAATGAACTGGACCCGGTACTTACGGACAATGGTGAACAATTGATACATCTATTGGCTGACAAAAGCATGTTTTACACAGTAACCGGTTGTCTGGTCACATTATATGCTCCAACAACATATAATTGTATTGTTAGTTTTCATAATTCGTTGCCAGATCATACGCTGTCCCCCTCTTGGTCACCTCCACTAAGTACAGGGCCGTGAGAAAAGAGCTCTACAAGGCAGATGGCCCTCTGGCATGCGGAGCACATATCCTAACCAGCATGAGTAATTCATCCATAAAGAGGGTTCCTTCTTCCTAAAACCATCTGGCGTACCTCAGCATTACTAGCCCGAAGTTCCCATCAGACCCGACCAATTCTTCGGAGACACAGATGGTCCGTGACAACTTCCGTATATCCTCTGCGCATAGAGACCACGTATCTGATCCATAAAAAGTATGGTTTACAATGCCACAGTGCAAACTCCACTCTTGACACAAACCCACGTCATATCGGCGCCATAGGTATCGGAAGTTGACAAACGCTGCCTTGGTTTTATATCCGGCCAGTTCGTCGGAACGTATGGAGCTGCTCACATAAAGAAATTCATCTACCACGTCGATCGGCTCGTCTGCAAACATGATGTTTAGGTTTAACCCCACGCAGCCCTGTAGCAGCGCTATACGCTGCAGGTGTGAAGTCGTACAGGTCATTTAAAATGGTTTGTATTTCTGGAAGATGTGAACGAAGGAGAGCGATATCGTGCAAATACTCAATGTCTGTGTGAAAATGTCCTTAGAGCATATCCAACATTTCGGAAGAAGGCAGAGAAATCGCAAGCAATACGTCAGTAGCAAAGCTGAAGAGGAAAGATGGGACAGTGCAGCCTTGTTTTACCCACTGGAAGTCGTGAACTGAGGCAGAAGCCTGCTGTATACTCGCATCCATGTACAGGAGTTAACATATAGTGCCCTCGTAAAAAATAAACAAAAATCATTCAGCTGTAGCACCCTTTCGGTGCCTAGCTGCCATGCCACACGGAGGCACGAGGGCTGGGATATTGTTAGATTACCCAAGCCCAGACAGGGGAAGTCTAGGGGCAGAAGCCGGGTTCGAACGGCGGACCTTCCGGTCAGTAAATTCGTACTCTAACTACGGCCCATCTCGCCCCCTCGTAGGGGACAGAATTTTGGAAGAGGCACCCTTGACCAACAGATCAAAAATCAACCTTCAGACCAAGAAAAATAACTAAAGTGGGAAGTTCGAAAGACTGAGGTTGTCCAAGAAAGGTAAAACTATGGTCAGTGCATCCCCGGCCACGGCGAAACCCAGCTTGATCTTCACGAATGTCTCTCAAGATCATCGATCAACTTACGCAAAACGATCCCACAGATCACCTTAGATGCGACGGATGCCAGGCTAATGCTACGATGGCTTTCGCATAACGTTCTTTCACCCTTTTTGAAAACTGGGATGACGGTTGAGAAGCCCCATTCGGCTGGTATTCCGTTTTCGTTCCAAATCCTTTGCACCAGGACCTCATCACCTTCTTGGAATATGGCCGAGTGCAGATCATCCGAACAAAGTGGCTTGCCACATTGAAAAGTTAGTATCTCACTCTGGACTTCAATAGTTGACGGCGGGCTGGTGTCGGTGTTCAATTCAGCCTCATTGGGTTCATACATAGGTTATGAAGGCGATCAGCTGAAGTGTTGAAACATCGTTCAAGGGGAAGATTTTGTGTACGCCATCACATGGGCTAATCGCTGGTACAACCTTTCTGGTAGCCATGAACTTCCCAGCCGGTCCAATACATAATCAGACCCGATGAATTATCAGACGTCAAGTGAGGATGGGCGTGCGCGCCTACCGTGGAGTCTGGTGAACATGCTACACTTGCAAGCTGCTGTTTCTCCTGCTCAATATAATATCTTTTCTCTCTGTCAATACTGGTCACATTATTGTACAAAGTTTGTTTAAATGAAATGTACAACAAGCCGCCGCTTCTTGGGCTCAACGAGACTTTGCGCCTTTTGCTGAGTGACTGTTGTTGTGCCAGGCGGTTGAACAATATTCGCTATCACTGATTCTCCAACCGAACGAAACTCAGCAATACTATATCTATCAATTCAAACCAGTGGATCAATATTGCACCTACGGGAGTTGGAAATACCAGGAAAATAGAACCATCTCTTCGTGGTGTGGTGGTTCAACGGAATACGGACCTTCGGAAATTCCTCTCGTGAACTGAGTCAGGATTTCCTTGGATTGTTCATCTTGTGACTTACATCACTAGTCTGTTCTGTACACTAAAGACTCGGTAAGCACATTAACCACTACAAATACGGAAAGCCGAGGAAAGCCAGTCGATCCGTATGACCGCTTCCAGGAAACAGGCTGTGAGCGAAACCATTATGGATCAAAGTGGCGTAACCACCTTGGATAAAGAACCCCTCAATCGCTGGCCTGAGTACTTTAAAACATAATTGTCGTGTCCACACGCTTGGATCCTACAGCTGAAGAACCCTGACTTGTGAACCTGGAACCCCTGTGGCCTCCGAGGTTTATGACTGCAAATGTCCTCTCAGGCGCCACGAAGCTCCTGGCCCAGATGCAGTGCAATCCTCAGATTGTGTGCCTGCATTTAGCAAAAGCAGATTATCTCACACATCGTTCTCATGTTCGAAGAGGAGGAGAAAGCGCAAGTATTCTTAGATGAACTGACCAAAGTCATCCCGTCCTTTCGTATGCACTTTGCAACTACAAAGTGTAAGGTCATGCTTGTGGACGTGCAGTCACTGAACACGTCCCTTATAATTCAGGGAGAGGTACTGGAAGTTGTAGAGCGTTTTAACGTACCTTGGAAGTTGTATTAGTTCTGATTGTAGTGTGACAGATGAGGTGAATGCACGAAACTGCAAGGCTCGGGCCGCGTTTGCTAACTTGAGACACCTATGGCGTCAGGGTGGTTTATCCCTGAATCTGAAGGGACGTGTGTATCAAGCTACAGTAGGGGCTGTCTTGTTGTATGGCTGTGAGACTTGGCCTATTCGAGCAGCGGAACTGAGACGTGTTCGACAATCGTTGTCTCAGAACCATTACTCTTGTGAATTGGTGTCGGCGAAGCCGCAATGAGGCAGTTAGAAAGCGCGTTTTCGGTCGTGTAACGGGTACTTCCATTGAAGCTGCGTTGATTGGGACGTGTTACGTATGCCGAACCATCGTTTGCCGAAGAGAGTACTGTTTTCCATGCCCAATTCGGAGTGGCGTAAACAGAGAGGTGGCCAACCCATGACCTGGCAGAGGAGTATGAAGGAGATCACGAAACGCTTGGGTGCTGTCGGTGCTACTCGCCTTCCAGGATGGGGACCGCGTGATCCTCACTGTGCCTGGTTGGAGACACTACAAGATATGGCTGCCAACCGATGTCAGTGGCGTTCTTGTTGTCAGTTTCTGTCCAGATTGCCTGAGTGAATGTCTGGAGGTGTAGGCACCTCGGAATGATTGTGTTAAGCTAGCACTAAGTCCCTCCCCCATCCACCTTTATTCTTTTCTTTACAATAAGGCTTTCAAATAAGTCATGGTTGTACGGCAGTGAAGCATCGGTGTTGAACACTGATGTCACGCTGTCGATGACGATGATGATGACGGGCTGCCTCAATAGTTGGAGACATTGTCAGACATGGCCCAGTCGCGTCCTCAATGGTGCTTGTGCAAATAAGCTATTGCATTCAATACATTCCCAAAAGCAAATAGTTCTGTATTTACGCACGGATTTATCAACTCCCTCCCCCAACTCGTAGCTGTCTACCCAATCTCCAAAATCATCGGTGAAAGAAACTATGGCAGCTAAATCCACTGTACGACAACCACGCGGTTATTACAGTTGACAATGATGATAATGATGAAACAGTGAGAAGAATAGATCGTCTCGACAACCTTGGGGAGCACGAGGATTCCGGTGAGAAAACCCTCCGACCAAGCACACCATACCTTCATACTGGTATGGTAACTGGTAATGCACACTCCATATTTTAGGATCATGTGCTACCGTTATTAGACTATTAAAGCGCACATTACGCCCTTCTATTCTCTCTTCGTTCAAATTTCGACATCGAACTACTCGACTATCGCAACAATTAAATCGTCTCATAATGAAATAGGTCATATTCTCCGACTTATGGTTTTCAATGCTGATTCCCACTCATCAGACGACATGAACTGATGGACTCATGGGTCCCGTGCCTTCCGTACCGACATTAACTCAATCAAGCCTGAACTTCTGAATCAATCGGAAACTCTCATACGTCGCACTGACCTTACATTGTATGACTTCATTGCAGAGTGTAGCGACTACGATTCTGCAATAGCCTTGGTGGAATAACTTTATATTCGCCCGAAAAACATTGTGTATGGACGCCACCATTTAGCTACATACAAGCAAGAACCCGGTCAAGCTGTTGACCAGTACGCTCAAAAACCGAAGTCACCTGATAAAGACTGTGATCTTTTTCACTTCTGCCAAATACGTCGCACTGACCTTACATTGTATGACTTCATTGCAGAGTGTAGCGACTACGATTCTGCAATAGCCTTGGTGGAATAACTTTATATTCGCCCGAAAAACATTGTGTATGGACGCCACCATTTAGCTACATACAAGCAAGAACCCGGTCAAGCTGTTGACCAGTTCGTTCAAAAACCGAAGTCACCTGCTAAAGACTGTGATCTTTTTCACGTCCTTCTGCCAAGTCGTGTGTTGTCCATTTCACGGTTGAACTGAGTGTTTAAAGCGCGAGTATACCGACCGGAAGGTCCGTGTTTCGAACCCAACCTCTGACTCTCGACTTCCCCTATTTAGGCTTGGGCGACCTGGCAGTAGCACAGTCCTCGTGCCTCCTCCGTGTGGCGCGGCAGCTAGGCACCGGAAGGTTGCTACAGCTAAACGATTTTTACCCTGGTTTTAAATATATTTCGACCTAGTTCGAAATATTTTCTAGGGTTAACCTTTTTCCTAACCTGAATGCAATAGTTTGGACTAATGAGCACCAGTGATGGCACAGTGTGCCATGCCTGACAATGTCACTATCCAATGATGTGTTCGGTCTCAGGGTCCTCATACAAAGTTACAGCAATGACCAGCGAAGCTGATTATGCTGATAATGAATTTCATACGTCTTTGCCAATGTGTCGTTTGGCCTTCCCTGGCTTGTTCCCACCCTTCGCATGGTTGCGGGCAGAGGGCTCTTTGAGAAAGTCAGTCGACTAGCGTGAGTAACTTGGACAAACCAGTGCAATCTGTGGAGTGTGATCAGTTCATCCACCATGAACGAGTTATTTCCCCCGAAAATCATTCGATGTACTTCAATATTATCGACCCGCTTTCCGTGCTAGACTTGGGCAATGGTGCGGAGAGATCGATGGTCAAACAATAAGAGTTATTTTAGCGCACAACAACCAGATGCCTGACGCCTATAATGAAATGAACATAATTCTGCTAGTAACGCATAAGATCGTCCTTCCCACGCCACAGGCAATGCGAATACACAAAAGCTACTCTGACCCTCGCAAATCTGATGGAAATATTAAAATCGGATAGACCACCAGGGCTGATGCAGCTGCTCAGTTGGACAAACTTGTCTACTACTTCAAACGGCCCATCCAAAGGCATAGGCTCGATTTTTCAGCAGCATCTGGAAGGGGTGGAGCACGTGTCTAATCGTGTCCGGAGGCCAGCCATCCCTAATAACCAAACAGCTTGTCGATCACACGATGTGTCCCGTGCGGGCTACGGACCAAACGAAGCTATGCCCTGATTGGTCAGAATACAAGCCAATCTAGATCGAGCACCTTTAGCTCGACAGTTATCCCTCCCTTACGGAGATTTTGTGGAACATTATGCGAGCGCACTATAAACACAGCTGCAATAATTTCCTTTCTCCTCTATAAATGGCTGTCTGAAGCTACCACGCCCTGGATATACCATTGTGAGTGTAGCAGTAAGCCAGGGAACAGTACAATTGTTGCACGCCGTTTAGCAGGCCACGACAAAGCGTGTAGCAGAACTATTTAAAGTGTTTCGTATTCATCTAATTACGACGCCATAGGTTTCAGGAAGTGTTATGTTGCCTGCGTGGGTTCGAAAATCTCAGTGGTTAAAGCGACAGCTTAAGGTCCGGAAGTTTCGTAGTTCAGCATTTCGCTTATTTCTGCCTAGGCTTGGACAGCCCAGCAATGTACAAACCTTCATGCTCCGTTCGAATGGCGTGAGAGCTAAATACCGAAAATATGGTACAGCTGAAAATGTCGTCTGTGTATATGTGAATGAATACCCTGTATTTTGATCCCGCATGTATTGGAATCTACAAGTCTTCCATAGTCATATCAGTGTCGATGTTGGTAAGGACAAAAGTAATCTTCCATTAGACCTTCATTTGTCCACGGGCATTGGCGTACAGCATTTCAAATTGGATCAATAATTATTGGGGAGACCTCTGCTCCAAAGATACTGTTATAGCTCCCGATGGTACATTGAGTTAGGGTAGCATTTGAGTCGAGGAAGTCAACCGTTGTTGGTTGTTGGAAGCAATGCGCTGTTCCATAAACTGTCGGAGGATAAAAATGTGGTCGACGCATTCTCCCTGTGTTCAGTTAACCTCCGAAGAATAAGAGCAGTGCACCCCCGGTGCCACATGCATGAAGCTGATAGCATGGTGGTTTTCACGGCTATATATTGCATCAGCCCGCTTTTTCAGATGAGTCAGTGGGCGTCCTCCGCTTTGAAGGGAATTGGATGGAGACCGTCATATCTTGGAGCCTTCTCACATTTTGGACGTAATTTCTTCTTTCGACGGGCGACTGAGATTTGCATTCCGTTCACTCATATGCACTTTCTAAAGAGGCTGTGTTGCAACAGTCCAACTAACCTATTCTTCAAAGTGTTCGGCCCGACTTTTCAGTCGACGTTTTTTTGAGTTAATCAACAAACCTTTACATCCATCATTTCACTGACCGCTTCTTTTTCTAGGGCCCCTCGATCATATCTATCGATATAGGCACGCCTGTCTCCGGTAGCGAAACATTTCGCCGTCCCCCGACTTTTTTTGTCCACCCGAGCCCTCGATCCTTTGTTAAACTCCAAGCTATTCGGCGTTTGAGGGCTATGCGTGCGCCGTCTCGTCGCCCACTGTTATGGAATTCCTGGCCGCACTCATGCACAGTGATTTCGACGGCATTCACTGGTTTTCTGGTCGAGTAAAAAATTCGGACAAATGGCACTGAACGCCGCCAGCATAGCTCGTTTCACATTTTGTTATGCTTCATCCATGTGCTCACTACCAGTACAGTATTGGGTTAGAGTGGAGAGTTGTTCGGCTGGCTCAGATAGATGCTGATGAACCACGGTAGTTCTTTGAAGATAGCGGATTAGTACGCTTCTTATTGGCCTGAGAAGAAACGAAATGCCAAGAATGCTCCCACTATGGCATGATCGGAATAAAGTTTTATGCCATAGGGGTGGCTGAATTTTTGAATCTTTGATTTCCCCAAGTGGCTAACGGCCGCGTGATCCAAATGGGTCCATGGCTGATATGCAGTTTCTGGCCGTCAGGGCCCAAATGGGAACAGCTATGTTGGAACTTCGCACTGATCAGAACCAGCTTAAGATCTGCACACAGCTGCATAAGTCTCTCTCCGCTGTCTGTGCAACGAGTATCGACTCCAAATGGCCCGCCGGATGTGATTTTAAGGAGCTCCGACGACCGATCTTTTCACACACATCGCCTCCAAGTAACACAAAATCAGCGCATCTTGCCTGACGAATGAGCCCGAAAACCTCTGGATAGAAACTATCCTCAGCATCAGAACAGCAATCTTTTGCGGCGTGTAGCGACGTTACTGACAGATGCCCTTTTTCTATGTCGAGAGACGCCGAGCTTGGTTGAGGTCAGTAACATAATACCGCAGACTATTTTTCACCGGAATTGAATAAAAAAAGCGGGTTAGGCCCTAAATTTGAGTGCGGCTTCCGGAGCATATGTTCCACTATTCAGCAATTCGGGATCATCCGACACATCAAGAACGAAAGTTAATGAAGCTTCCATCGTTCTTGGCGTTTTGGCCTCGATCCTGTATTTTTGAGAGACAGTATAATTCAACTTTAAGAGAGGCAGCTAAACATG